AGCTAGTGTCTAGTGACATCTTTTTGTTTCCACATTTGTTTTTACTGATAGCATGCTCAGGTGCTTCTCAACAGCTTTGCTTGTGAGCCATGTGGAATAAACAGGAGACCACTTTAAAACATTGTTTAAGAAGGGTTAAGGGTTAGAGAGCTGGAGGACATTGGTGACCTGGGAATGATAGTTTACAGAGGCTCCTTAATGTAAACCTCTGGCCTGGAATAAGCATTGGAATTTGTGGCTTCTGTGTGTAGTTCAGGCATGGGGAAAGTGACCTGGTCTTCTTCTATCAGACCCACCAGCCCTGTCCTAATCAGTCAGAGTTGTTCACTGGCTCACTGACTCAGTCTTCCTTCCTTCCTTCCTTCCTTCCTTCCTTCCTTCCTTCCCCTTCCATCCATCCATCTTTCCTTCCTTCCTTCCTTCCTTCCTTCCTTCCTTCCTTCCTTCCTTCCTTCCTCTCTTGTGTACAGGTATGGATGTGCCATGGTACACACATGGAGGTCAGAGAACAAGTTGTCTGAATCTGTTCTCTCCTTCCACCATGTGCTTCCCAGGGATTTAATTCAGGTCACCAGACTTGGCTGAACTATTTCACCAACAGCTACTTATTCTTTCTTGTCTCAGGGGAAAAGCTTGGGTTTTTTTTTTTTTCGTTTTGTTTTGTTTTTTTGTTTTGTTTTGTCTTTTTAGCCTTACAATCTAGCGGCCAGGGCCTGGCGGTATCATGAACTTTCTTGTAAGGAAATGAAGCTGGCGTGGGCAGCAAAGAAGGTCTTTGGCAAACCCAGAAAGAGCATGGGAGCTCGTTCTAGCAATGTGTCTCGGTACTCTCAGATCACACTGAAACAATCTATGTCTGCCTAAATGTGCCAGCTCTGCCACGTGGGATGGCCACTGTTGTAACAGCCATGCCAACTGTCCATATCAGTTGTAACCTGTGATCAGACAGCACAAGAAAGCAGATGATATGGAAGTTTGTCGTGTTACTGGTACATCTATAAGCTGTATTGCAGGCAGGAAGACGTGACATGACATGGAAGGACGAGTGGACATGTGATGGGTTTTAGTCGCTCAGGTGAGGACACAGACACAGAAGATTAGGTTTGTTTCCCTAGTACCCAGAGACTGTGGGTCAAAGAACTGCCCAGCTGGAGGACAAAGGACCTGGCATGGCTTTGGAAGCACAGAAAAATCACAACACCTTCTATTTTGGTAAAATGACAAAAAAAAAAAAAGAAGCACAGAAAAATCACAACACCTTCTATTTTGGTAAAATGACAAAAAACCCAACCTCAACTGAATCCACCAACATAACACATTCTCTCTGCTTGAGGAAGCCCCAGTCTCCAGCACACCCTTCCAGGGAGACTAGACTTTACAAAACATACCTGATCAAATGAGTAGAACCTTCTAGTACTTCTAGAGGCGCACAAAGTGAAATTCTGTGCATTGGTATGTAAAAATCCTGTATTTGTGGTATTTGAGGACATGTGGCCCTCAGAGCTCGAGCACGAGATGGAGCAACTGCTTTCAGTTCAAAGTTTAATTTCAAAATTTAAGATGATTTTATAATGTCTGCCAATATCATTAGAATATTTAGGAGAACATCATGGTCACTTTGCTTATGTCAGAGTCTTAGTTCTAAAAACACCCTTCCTTGGGAAGACTTTGTTCTCTGCTGTAGAAGAAAAGCAATTCATGGGTCTGAGAGTTTCACTCACAACAAAACCCTTTTGCCTAGAACCTGCAAGGTCAGTGAGGGGTGAGTGTGAATATTTCAATCCTTCAGTTCCAAATTTCAGTTTATAATAAGACGGGCTGGCAAGATGGTGCAATGGGCAAAGGTGCTTGAGCCAACTACAACCTGAGTTCCATTCCAGATACCCACATATTAGAAAGAGAAAACAAATTCCTAAGAGTTGTTCTCTGACTTCCATGTGTGCTGTGCCATTCATTAATGTACATATAATATATATATACATGTATGTATATATATGTATATATATATATGTAATTTTAACTCATTTTCAGAGTTTGTTTTGTGCTTTGCACTGACACATCTCAAATGGAAATAACACAGTGGCCACCATGTTGGATAGCATAGAGCTGAGGGAATTAATTAGTAAGGGGCATTTATTATTTTAAAAAGTTGCTCTCGTCAGACTGATAGGCTCTAAGGACCCTTGAAATGATCAAACTTACAAATAAAACATAATTTATAGTTGTAAGTAAGGAAAGATAGATTAATTTTTAAAAATTAAACCATTTCTGTATGTGTGGTGCTGAGTGCAAAGCGGGCATCTTGCATACTCTAGAAAAATGCTCAGCCACTGACTGACTAGCATCTCTAGCCCGAGGTACTGTTATTTTAAAATAATTACAAACTGCCTTTTCAGGACGTAAAAGATTTTATCCATTAACCAGGAAAGTGAGGACCAGGGCAGGATTGGAGCTCAGGCCCTTGGTGAATCAGAAGCAATAGTAAGTAAAACTCCAGTTTCATAACCCCGTCTTCTCTATAGTCGGGGCTTCTAGTTCACTATCTCAGTCTCTTTCTCCCTTGGATGATCAGGACACTGAGGCATGAACTCGGCCCGGGTAACTGGGAGCACGATCGTGAACCAGAGGGTCTGTGTCTCTAAGTTGTGGTCACCCAGTAACATTCGGGCCTTGCCAGGAGCCAGCTGGAGCTAGGTACCAGGCCTAGGAAGAGTCCTGCAGCTCTCAAGAAAGACAGCATCCACCAACCCCTGGCATTTGCCAACCCCTGACCCTCAGAATAGAACCAAGCGAGGCTTGGACCACTCAGGTGTGGACCCCACTCCTGGGCAGAGAGCTCCAGAGCTTCACCAAACTTAACTGTCCCGTTCCCTTTATTATTGTTGTTCATCGTTTTCTACCTTTTCTTTCTCTTTTCTCTTAATGTTCTTTCCCCAAGCATGTGTGGGCCCCCACAGATCCACCACCCCTATAAGCATTCCTGTGCCTAGCCAGCAGGGCCTACCAGGTCATGCAGAGGGAAGGGACACTCGAGTCCTGCGCTCAGCCTCCCTAACATTAGCAGGAGGAGAAAGACATGGGGGACACTTTGGGGTACAGTTTTCCTTACACCTGCAAAGCTCATCCTCTCGGGAGATTTCTCAGTGGGACATAGACCATCAGTGACTGATGAGTGAGCATTGCCCAGAGTGGGAACTATTTTCCCTGCTCAGAGTGCTGGACAAGTTCAGAAGAAAATAACCGACTTACTTACTCCCTCCCTCTTCACCCCTTTAACTAAGAGGGAGGGTGGGTGTAGGCCTAAGGCTCCACGGTCTTGGATGGCATCATTTCAATTGCCACAGATTGGTTTTTGCCACCATTTATTTTCATTTATGTTTCCCTTTCTCTTTAATTTCTGGTGAATGATAAGGGTTTTCCACTTACAGCATAGCAAAGGCTTTTTGTTTCTTTTTTTAACTAAACTTTTATCAGTAACAAACAAACAAAAAAATGAGTCAACCGACATTGACACAGGGACAGGAAGGCGCCGAGGGTACTGACACGGTCATGGGGCAGGTGTAACACAACACATACCTAAGGAGCCTGCCTGCTGCTGAGGTCTTGCCTTCCCATGGGCATCACCCTGCACCCATCTTCTCAGACCAAGGACCAGACACCCATCAGCCTCAGCACAAAGGGCTCCTGTATCTGGCTCAGCTCCAGCCCTCAGTCCTACTGGGAGGCAGTGGAAGTAGAAGGAGCTGGTTTGTTTGAAGCCTCGGTCTGGGTGGTCAGCAGTCCTTTCCCTTTAGGACTTAATTATGAGCCTGTGCCAGGCCTCCTAGGAAGGCCTGGTGGACAGGAAGAAGCGGGAGACTTCTCGCCAGTTTCAGTCAGCTTGGGCAGAAGGCAACTGAACCCCTAGAGAAAGTGCTTTGGAAACAGCTGGTCCAGAAAGGACAGCCAAGATACGAAGTTCCTACTACCAGAGCAAAATAACTTTCCCTAAACCAGTCTGACACCAGGGAGCTTGGAGAACATGCCTGCGGATCCAGACAGAGAGAAGACAGTTCTTTAGACATCCCAAGTTTAACTTTCCCTAAACCAGTCTGACACCAGGGAGCTTGGAGAACATGCCTGTGGATCCAGACAGAGAGAAGACAGTCCTTTAGACATCCCCAAGTCCTTTAGACATCACAGCCTCTGAGCCAGCCTGATATCCCTGCCCCTCTGCCTGTGCTCTCCTGCTGTAGGGCAGACCTAACTCCTCAGGCCATAAGTCTGTTTCTATACCATCTTTCTCCCCCAAAATGTAAAGTCCAGCATGCACAGGGACTCCCGAGTCTCTGGGCTGTTGCCTGTTCCAGCTATCTTGGCCTCCGCACTCTACAGCATCTCACAAGTGTCTGGTGACCCCAGGCCTTTGCTCTAGAATTCTGGCCCAGGAGGCAGGATACCTCAGCACTTTGAGGGTAGCTCCGGACCTCAAGAGCCCTCCTGATCATTTATGTCTCAAATTAATCCAAGAAGATGAGCTGAAGTCACCAAGAATGACAGACTAGAGGTCCCCCGGGTCTCCCTGGGTTCCACCTCTGGTCTGGGTGAACCCTACCCTGGAGCTTAACATGGAAAGTAATGTTGTCAGTTGGTCCTGCTTCACAAAGGAGTGGTTCCTTCCTTCCTGTGAGATGGTAAGAAGGCATATGCGGGAGGGGGTGCTTCCTGAGCCTATGGGTGGGCCGTGTGCTTCCCTACTTAGACCTAGGACCCTAGTCAGACACAGGGATCATTCATCTCACTCCCAGGAGGCCTCTTAGGGTGAGAGCACCATCCTGCCAGTTCCGGTCCCTTAAGGGGTCCCTGTGTTATCTCAAGCCCCCAAGCTGTTGTCACACCAGCATGGTTTTAGCTTAAAAGGCTCTACAAAGGTGGCCACAAGGAAACAGCTAGCAAGGTGCCAAGCAGACAGGACCCAGGTCCTCTGGAATAAGTGGTAGGAGGTGACAGAAGAGATCTACCTGAGAGCGCTGCTGCCAGCAATCCCGCGATCCCAAAGAAGAGCCACATGTCCGGTGCCATATCCGACTGCTACACACGCCTGCCTGTAGGAAGTGCCATCCTGGTGCGGGCGGCAGCCGTCTCGCTTCCTCACCCGTGTTGCCCTTTCTGTTCTCGGTGTCCTCTATGCTGCATACACACTCTCTCTCCTACTCTCTCTCCTACACACAGGCCCAGCCTGTGAGTATCTCACACCTCTACTTTCTGCTTGTGGTTTTGGTCTCCAGGAAGCCAGGCTGTTGTTACAGGAGGTGGGGCAGGGGAGCCCAAGCTGCCTATCATAAACCCACCAACCCAAGTGAACCCCAAGAGAGTCACAGAGTCACATGCCCGATGTGCACACCCTGGGGGTCTTTCAAGAAAGACCAAGAGGCTGTGCCTTGTTCCCTTGAGACAAGAGACAGCTCATTCCAGATATGTCTAGCAAAGGGTGCTAGATGTGTGAATTCATGGCCCCTGTTGCCCCGCCCACAGAATCCAGCTCTGATGAGGTTAAGTTCCAAGGTTTGTGCGGGGCATGTTTGAGCAAGAGGCAAGAGGATAGGGTCTTAATACACTTTTCTTCTGCGCGCGTGCATGCGTGCATGCGTGCGTGCGTGCGTGCGTGCGTGCCTGTGTGTGTGTATGTGTGTGTGATATGTCTCAGATATATGTGCGTGCGTGCGTGCGTGCGTGCGTGTGTGCG